GACAGGAGTGCTGGATAGGAAGCAGGAATCACTGCCACCACAGCCTTCTGACTGACTCAGAAGTTACAATCAAATATAGGTCAACATAGCTCAACATAAAGGTACAGCAGCCAAAGCTCCCAGCGCTCCTTCCTAAGGAGGGCCTGGAAACCACCGTCGCCATCATACAGTCATAGCGTGGATCACATTTTGCTGTTAGGGACACAAAGCTGTTATTCTGGATGGCGTTCTTGACCAAGGCCTCCAAGCAAGCAAAGGACAGATTCGGCCAACAGTGGGCTGGACAACTAGACAGTTCTGCATCTCTTATTGTCCAATTAGTAAACCGAGGCTTCAGTTCTGTGATATGGACACACATGTACACGCATTCACTCAGAAATCTTCCTGTGGTGCATGACCCCGTTTCTGCTGTATTCAAACTACATTAAACTAGAACATGGGTTATAAAATAATTTAACATTTATCTGCTTGCCTTCCTAGAATTTAAAAGATTTCTGGGACAGATGTGTGTGGATGGGCTAAGGGTCTTCGAAGACAGACCAAAAAAAAAATTAAAACCAAGGTTTATCCTCCTTCAGTACATTTCTCTTTAGCTAATGTAAGTATTAGAAATGTTTCCAGTGCTTGAGAGTTTATCGAGGGGAGACACCACTGGACAGATTATATAGTATCCGAAATTCCCGAGCTTAATTTGGGAGAGAGGTGGTGGTGCGAGGCTGTCAGGGCTCCGCGCTGCCCCACTTAGCACCTGTCAATAACCTGAGCGTGAACTGGGCTTCTACTGATGCTCTAAGTTTCATCTTTTTACTCTAGATAGCAGTTTCTTAAAAACCTTCCCCACATTTTATGTCCTTAGGTGCCTTTAAGGAGGCCCAACAAGCCTTCAGTTAAATAAACACCATTAAGCTGAGACACTAAAGTCAAAATGGGCACAGTTAGTAAGTTAGTAAATCTACTCACGTAAGAATTTTAGCCTTGACAAAGATACTCCAGGGGGAGATAAAGTATTCTAGCCTGAGGAAGTCTCCCCCTGACCCCAATGACTCAGTCCAAATACGCTGAAATATTTACTCCCCTCTCGGATCTTCCTAGGCTCTGCAGGAATGTCGGTTAATCATCCTTTAGTGTTCGTCTTGGGTTGGGTTGGTGGGGAAAGGCTTTCATTGTCTGGTTAACTATTGGGGATTTTTTTTTTTTTTTTAATCCTGGGCTGGGGGGAAGAGAGAAGGAATATTGGCTGAGGGACTGTTGAGAGCTAGCAGGTGGGTTTCTGTCACACTCCAATGAGCACTGAGCCCCCAGGGAAGTCAAGAGGTAAAGTGACATACTTCTAGAGAGGCCATCTACCGCTGTGTGCTTTCAAGCATTCCCTGAACACCGTCTCACAGAGGAGGCCCCGATCCACAGGCAATAATGCCTAAGAAAGGGTCCCTGCCTGCAGGCAGCTTACAGTCTAGCAGGGAAGACAATTAAACCAGCAATTAGAGTGAAATCCCACAGTTAGAATAAAATGTGGGCTCCTTACCCCTAGAGGCCCTGCATGAGGTGCCCCTGCCCCTCTTTCTGAACTCCTTCTCACTTTGCTCCAGCCACCCTGGCTTATCTGCCTGTTCCTTGAATAGGCTGACCTTGCTCCCAATTTTAGGGCCTTTGCACCTGCTGTCCCGCCTGCCTGGAGCCCTGTTTCTCCAGCTCCCTGAAGTTTATGCTCAAAAGTCCTCTCCACCTAGAGCCTTCCTTCACCACCCAATGTGCTCCTCACCCATCCCCCCAGAAGGATCCCTTCCACCTTTCTCCGTCAGAACATGATTAAAGGTAGTGATTATGGCGTGTCTCCCCATCAGAACGCATGCACCCGGAAGGCAGAGCGTGTCTGCCCTGCTCACTGGGGCCTCCCCAGAATGATGTCTGGCCCAAAGCAGGGGCTCAGGACAGATTTATTGGCAAATAAGCACAATGATAGGGGAAGTTCAGCCAGACTCACTCTGAGGTTCCCGGGGAGGGCTTCCTAAAGGAAGGGACATTTGCTGGGGAGAGAGGCAGATTTTGGAGAAAGGGGTTGCAGAGAAGAGGCAGAGAAAGCTGGGTAAAGTGGCCGCAGAAATCACATCAGAGTGCTGGGCCAGCGATTCCTGGGTGATTGCAAAACCTTGGCAAAAGGCTAACGAGGGGAGAAAGAGCACCCACACCTGGCGTTCCGCGGAGCATATGCGGCGTTCTGGGCTGAGCGAGCCTGCAGCACAGCCGCCCTGGAAACCTCCTCCTCCCCGGAAAGCTGATCGCAAGGGCGCCTGACTGAAGGGCGCCCTCTCGTGGCCAGAGCCCCTAGAATGGGGTCCTCCTCGGGCTCTAGCGTCTCTGCCAGGTGCCTCCCTCCCTCTAGAATTCCGGGATTCTCGCTCCTTCCTAAAAACAAACGAACAGGCACACGGATGGACAGACAACCGCCATCCACCCACTGTGGCAAAGTTGGTCCTTTTGTAAAACCGCTTAGACTTGGCATTTTGAATGATTTTACCGTGTGTAAAGGTTGGGGGGCAGTCTGCTGGTCAAAATTGCAACAGCACACATGGAGCCCTTCCTCTGTTCTGAAGACATTCCGTGTATTCGTTAACTCAGTCCTCAGTACTGCGGATTGTAGTAGTACTACAGTATTGTAGTACTGAGTATTGTAGTACTCAGTACTACAGTAATCCTCACTGTGACTATCAGTGTCCCCACTGCATGGAAGAGCAAAGCGAGGCCCTGAGGGTCGAATGGCGCCCCCGTGGCCAGGCAAGCTAGTGGTGCAGCAGGATTCACTCCAGGCCAGTCAGCTCCCCGGCCAGGATGGGACTGTGGCTCGTGCCACACTGAGGGTTAACAGAAAAGCCAGGCCTTGGGCAGCTAAGGAGAGACTGGAACCATGCTCGGTGCAGTGGGAACAAATGTCTCTCCTGCGGTCCCCCACCCCCTCAGACGCCCCCAGAGACCTAGAGCTCCAGGAACTGCCAATAAAGTAAGAAAAAACTCCACAGCTGAGGATGGGGTAGGACATGGCCTTGAGCTGCCTGACCGCCCAGGGCAGGGAGCCAGGGTGTCCCTGTGCCAGGCTCAGCCCGCCTGGCTCCTGTGCCGACAGCCCAGCCCTGCGGCCCGCGCGTGGCCGCGTCTCTCAGCCTGCTTCACCATTTATGGTATCTGAGCCTCTGTTTGGCCTTCACAGGCCAGCAAATCCCCACACCAGGAGGGAGTTCTCACTCACGAGGGGCTGTTCTCAGAGCAAACCCCAAAGGCTCTTGGCAGAGCTCTTGCTGGGGACCTGTTTCTGCTTTAAAACATGTGCGCATGGGCAGTCACCCAGACCCCACTCCTCCCGCAGACCTGGGGACAAGGAGGACAGCCCCAAAGGCTCCTTGATCCTTCATCTGAGGACCCCCACCTCCAGAAGAACTATTAGCTCAGCTGGGTCTCTTTAATCCAAACTAAACCCAGGCAAGTGGGGACAGGCACAGGATTAGCAAGGCCACTAGCTGAAGTCAGTGGGGAGAGTCTTGGGCAATCGACCCATCAGATGTCACTCTGGCCCTCTTGCCCCTTACTAGGCTTTGGAGCAGGCCATGTGGACTTGCAAAGAGAGCCCCCCCTGTTGGGAAGGGGAGGGTCGCTCCTCTGGCCCAAAGAGATGAAGCTCAGATCTCTTTTCGTTTCATTATCACAATTTCCTGAGGCCCTTCAATGAGCCATGAAAGGAGACCTGTAAGGACAAAGCCAGAATTCCAGCTGACAGATTCCAGGGGTGGGGGTGGCCAGAATCAGGCTCCCTCCTGGGTGTGAACAGCTTCCTGGAAGGAAGCAGAGGCCAGGTGATGACTCCACGCTAGCGCCCTTCAGAGAAATTGGGGAGTCCTGGGAATGGGCCTCTTTTTGGCAAAGATCCCCACAGAGCACCAACCCCTAATCCTTATGGGGGGACACTGCCCGGCCTACAGGGCCCAGGCTGTCCCCTTGGGCCAGTGAATGCACACCCTGGAAAAGGGCATAGGACTGAGCACAGGCTTGGAGTCACGAGGATCTGCGTCTGGAAGCCCAGTCTGACTTTACCAGCTTGTGTGCTTGGGCGAGTCACATAAGCTTTTTGAGACCTCCAGACTCTTTGGTCTAAAATAAGGGAGAACGCGGGCCTCCCCAGGCCTGCTGAGGTCTAAATGAGAAAGTATTTAACGCAGTAACCAGCACGTGATTTCCCCCTTGCCCTTTTCGGTGGAACCAGGTCGTGTGTCCTCCCAGAAGGCAGTTGCCCACGTTATAGGGAGCGCCACCCCACACCCCCCAAGACCTGAACCCTGGGGGGCAGAGGGAAGAGACATGGTTTCCTGCCAGTATGCCCGGGAGCGGGAGCCTAGGCCCTGGGAGCGGGGGGAAGGTAGGGAAGCAGGCTTACCTGGACACCCCGGCCCCGGGGAGCATTCCCCCCGCACCATCACCATGCCTGCCGACCCCACAGCCCAGACAGTTCTGTCTCAAGTGCCGTGACTCCCCTGGAACTTCCTGGGACTAAGGGCTGGGTGCGGATCAATGGATGAGCGTGGTAATCAGATTACTGGGCACCAGGCTGCTGATGTATGAAAACCAGCCTAGGCTGGTGGGGAGGAGCAGGGTCAAGGAAAACGGGAACATCCTGGGACCCTCTTGAAGCCCCCAGTGAGGGAGGTAGCACTAGTGAGACCCCCTGAGTCCTAAGGGCGTATGCGAGTACTCCTCCTGGGGTACCTTTCCATGTGAGGGGACTTCTTACCACACTGGAAGCTTCTTGAGCCAAGGGAGCCCTTCCCTCTTTCCACTGCATCCTCCTTCAGCCCCACTGGGGTAAGGGGGTGGGGAGGGGGCCTTTTCCTTGTGACTGTGGACCTCTAGAGGCCATTTCCTCCACCTGCCTGCCTTCAGGTGCAGTGTGCTCTTTCTCCAAAGCAGGTGTCTGCATCAAAGGTGCTTCTAGAGAGGCGCCCAGAGGCTCCTACCATGGACAGTGACCCGGGCGCTGCAGGACACCTGCCCCACGGTGTTCTTGGCCAGACAGGTGTAGATGCCGTCATCTTCCGGCAGGGCGTCCTGGATGTGGAGCTCGGCCACGCCGGCCTCACAGGAGGAGTGAGCATACTGGATGGGCTGCTCTGTGGAGGGAAGCACAGGAAGGCTCAGGCCAGGTGTGGGGAGGCTCCCCGGTGTGGGGCTGCAGCTGTCACATCATCATGCTTGCTCAGATCCACTGCAGGTTGATGACATATTTGGCCGTCCCCTAGCCTGCTGGATAGAGGAAGCCAGGTGTTAGGGAGGGAGATGAAGGAGAGACAGTGATTTTTGGGGCACATGAACAAGTCTGGGGCTGGAAGGACTGTGGGGAGAGATTCTGGAGGCACTGCAAATGCAGGAGGGAAGGGGGCATAGTTCTGTGCATTTTGTTTAAAGGAACAGCCCCAGCATCCATAGCCTAGACTTCACAGAAGTCTGAGCCTGGAAAGAATCTTACAGGGTCATCTGGCCCAGAGCCCAGCCTCGGGCACAACAGGCCTCACCCAGACAACAGGAGGCTCCAGGCTCCTTTTAGACGTCTCCAGAAATAATGAGTCCATTTCCCACTACAGATATTCATCAGAAAGCAAGTGCGTGACCTCAATCTGATGCTGCAATTCGGTGCATTCTGGTGCATTTTAGGGTTCATGGAAAAGATAAATATGCGAAACTAAAAATGACTCAGGCCCCTTCTTTCCAGAGTCCCTGCCATGAGAGGCCCTTTATTCAGGACACTTAAAGTCCTGCATGGAGATAGAAGTGCATGCTATGAACGTCAGTGGTTTCCTTAATGCTATACGTCCCTGGGACTTTATCATTCCAGGATGTGAGCTTTTATTTCCAGGGGAAAAAAAAAACTCTCATCACTGAAGATTCTGGCCTCAGAACAGGAATGTGTCTGCTCACCATATAGGAAGCAACTGTCAGTTGCTTCCCTTGTCAGGCCCCAGGGTCCTGGTTTGCACTTCATAAAACTGGGGGTGGGTAGTAGGGGGGAAGGAGAAAGTGCAGAAAGAAGTCCTCTCCCTGCAGTCCAATGTTTTCTTCTGCACATAGCAACACCTCGTGTCTCCATGACAGTCTGCAGAGACTGCCAAGCAAGCATGCCATAGGGCGGGAAGGAAGAGAGTTTGCCCTTCATAAAGGTGGGGCTGGGAGCTGGGGAAAGGCAGGGGCCAGGATTGGGCGACCGAGAGGACTGAACACTGCTCTTGGCTTTTTGTGAAAAGAAATGACACTCTACAACCTCTCTTCCTTGAAAATACCAGTACATTCCATGACATCTATCAAAGCGCCTCTGCTGTCGAAATGTGCCAACAAAGTGTTTGAGATCTCTTTTGTTACTGGAGCATAACTCACTTTGGCTCTACACACATGGGATAGAATGGTGGCTTCAGAAAGGAGTTGAGGGCTCGCGGCACTCAGAATTGAGAGACACAGAACTCTCCCCACCAGGAGATGGGAAGACTGGTTAGCCGCCCAGAGAACTTGAGCATGATCGCCCTCTAGTGGTAATGGTGTGGAAATGCCAACATTGACCAAAAATAAAAGGTAGGGTGGCTTTTCCAGGTCCTGAGGGGTACAGACCAGGCATCCGCAAACTACTGCTCATGGGTCAAATCTGACCTGCGGCCTGTTTTTGTATAGCCTGAAAGCAAAGAATAGTTGTTACAGAGTTTAAATCGTTGAAAAAAAATCAACAAGAAAATATTTCGTGATCTGTGAGTAGTGTATGAAATTCACATTTCAGTGTCCATAAATAAAGTTTTATTGCAACACTGTCACACTTATTCATCTACATATTGTCTCTGGCTGCTTTTCTGCTGCCACAACAGCAGAGTTGAGTAGCTGCGACAGAGACAATATGGCCAGCGAAGCTGAAAATACTTACTATCTGGCTTTATGGAAAATGTTTCTTGACCCGTGGTCTGGATTCTGAGCCAGAGGGAAGTGAAACTTTCTTACTCAAATCCATTACTAGTCCTTAAATATGTGTTCTGTTCCAGTTGCAAAGAGGCTGCCTCTTTGTAGTCAGTTCCAGGATCCGACAGAAGCTCTGTCCATAGCGAGGGGCGGAGGGAAGGGTGACTTCAATTGTCACTTATTTGCCCAAGAATATGACACATGGGAAAACTATATTCACCTTTTCTCACTGACTAGAGATAATCTCTAGCAAAGCCTAAGCAAACTATACCAACTAGGGAGGTTCACAAGTAACACCTCAATAGTGTAGAAACAGCTGGGGGCGATTTGGTGCATAGCTGACAGGTGCCACTGTCTGAAAGGAGCCTGTTCTATCAGCCCTGAGAGGTCTGGGTCCCAAACATTCTGTTTCAGCCCATCTCCTCACCCATAGAGAGGCTGATGCCCAGGGAGTGAAGAGGGGTGTCCAAGGTCCCCCAACCCCTAGATGGCAGAGAAGGCTAAGTGCCCTTGTCTCCTGACTGGCAGCTCTTCCTTCATCCTCCCCGTGGATCCCCAAAGCAGGGGCTCCCAAAGCAGACCCCGTTCAACATCAACAACTTGATGGACTGTTCTCTGTTCTTTTTTGTTTTGTTTTTAAGATTTTATTTATTTATTTGACAGAGAGAGTGAGAGAGCACAAGCAGAGGAAGCAGTAGAGGCAGAGGGAGAGGAAGAAGCAGGCTCCCCACTAAGCAGGGAGCCCAATGCAGTGCTTGATCCCAGGAACCCAGGATCATGACCTGAGCTAAAGGCAGATGCCCAATGGATTGAGCCACCCAGGGGCCCCTGTTCTCAGTTCTAAAATTAGAGTTCTCCCATACTTTTGGAATCAAAAGGCTTTTTTACCAAAAGAGTGCTAATATATGACTGCAGATTTTTTCAAAAGACCTAACTTGGCCAAAAAAAAAAAAAAAAAAAAAAAAAAGTTGGAATGTCTCTATAGGACTATAACATTAAAAAGAATTGCTGGTCTACAAATCCCAAAACCAACTGCCACTAAATACAAGGCGAGGTTCAGGGATATTTGGGTGGCTCAGTCGGTTGAGCGGCCGCCTTCAGCTCAGGTCATGATCCCAGGGTCCTGGGATCGAGTCCCATATCTGGCTCCTTGCTCAGCAGGGAGCCTGCTTCTCCCCCTGCCTGCAGCTGCCCCTGCTTGTGCGCTCTCTGACAAAGAAATAAATAAAAATAAATAAAAAATAAATAAAAGGTGAGGTTCCACGAGTAACTTCTAATATGGTTCATTTATTTATTAATTTGTTTACTTATTGACTCAACAAATATTTATTGAGGACCTACTGTGAGCCTGGCCAAGTTGGTTGTGCACCCACGTACATTAGCTGTTTCATATAAAGGTTCTAATTCACTTCACAGCCCCCACCCTGGGAGGCAGTTGACATTATTCCCACGCTGCAGGAGCTCCAGGCTCAGATAGGAATAGCAACTTGCCCGGCGTCCCCTGCCAGCCAATAGCAGGCTCCACAGTCCTGTGAGCTCCCTGTACCCTGCAGGTTCATGCCAAGCCAAGTGAGAAGGCAGGCAGGGCCAAAGGGCCCAGGGGGCTGGAGCAAGGGGAACTCACCATTGAGCAGCCAAGTGATTTGGGGGACCGGGGTCCCCTGCACTGAGCACCGCAGCACAAAGTCCTGGCCCTCGACGACAGTGCAGTCCTTCAGGACCCTGGAGAACGAGGGTGCCACCTCCAGTGCGGCCAGGCCTGCAAGGGCAGAGAACACACGGGCCGTCTCAGACCACAGCGGGTGGGCACAGGCACTGGGCTTTCTCAGGAGCCTGGCTTGGCCTTAACCTCTCTGCATGCTTGGAGGCAGGCTGCACCACAGGTGTGGAGACCTGGGGCCAGAGACGGAGAAACCAGCAGTGGCTTATTCATGGTCACAGAGCAGCCCAGGTCCACAAGTGCTCAGGACATGGGCCTGCCCCCTCCTCTGGGACTCAGGCTCCTCCTCACCTGTCCTGGAGCACCCACAGAGCTCCTTCTTCCTGCTTTCCTGGTCCCCCATTACTCCCCAGCGTCCCTTCTCTTCTTTACAGTATCCCACTGGACCTGCACAATCTTGAGAATCTCTTTGTAACTGTAGAGAAAAACATGCCCACTGGGGAGGACATTTCAATTTTAAAGTGTTATTTTTTCCAATCCCAGGACTGGATCAAACAACAAAGACTCACATGTGTCCTAGGTTTCCAACCTGAGCCAATGGCTCAGGACGGCTGGGGGCCTGGGACTATGCATTCCTAAGTTCCCTCAGGACTCTGAGGCATATTTTCATTGAGAACCATTGAGCGGAACTTTCCAGAAGCCCTCAACAGGTGGACTGGGGAAGCATTTTGTAGATTGGGGTGGGGGGTGCTTAACTAAGAGGAATAGGGATAGATGGTTTCTTCCACAATCAGAACATACTGCAGAAATGTCAAAGTGGCTGGGAGCTGAGAAGGGGGAAGGGATTTGGTGATTAGAAGAGGCCTCCCCTGTGCCCCTCAGAAGCTATTCCATGCAGCGGTGAGAGGTAAGCTATATTGTATTGTAGGGGCTTAAGGATGAAAGCTGGTACATGAGGGCTTACTACATGCCAGGCACCTTCCCACATGAGACTGTGACAGTGACATGAGATTGTTTTCTTAGGCTCATTTTATAGACCTGGTTAGTAGTTTGTCATAGTCTGGCCAGCAAAGGCAGGCTTTACACCCGGCTCTCTACCTCTGTCTCTGGACTCCCTCCTCCACACCAGAGCTCCCCTATGGGCAAGTAGGCCGTGGGAGAGCAGCTAAGTCAGAACAACGGTGCATCTGATTGGGTCTGGTGCCAAGGGAAGGGATGGACTGACTACCTCGAGAGGTGTGGGCACCTCTATCCCTTTCTTCAGCGGGCGTCACATTCCCTCACAGGGAACGGCCTTTGGGAGCCATTGAAAAAAACATGGACTTCATGTCAAGCCAACATGGATTAGAAACAGCCTCTCTTTTACAAGGCCTGTGACCTTGGACAAGTCATTTAACTTCACCACGGCTCAGTATTCCCATCTGGAAAATGGGTGTGACTACAATTAGCTCCTCGGACCGCTAGGATAATAACTAAATGGAACAACAGAGGTAAAGCATTTAGCACAAAGCCTGCCACACTGAGCAGGCTTTTGTGGAGTGTTGGCTGTTACCATCAAGGAGAAGCTACACATCGAGACGAGACCTGCCATGAGTCTGGGGGTGGAAGACAGTGGAGAGATGGAGTGGGAGCTTAAGAAGCCACTGAGCAAAAAGCAGATGTTCTTTCCTTTTTCACCAGAGCATGCTTGCAGGGAGAAGGGAGAGGCCTCTGCATGCGGGCAGGGGGACAGACTGAAGAAATGGTGGGAGAGTGAATCATCATTAAGTAAGGTCTCTGGGGAGCGGGGAAGGGATGGACAGAGAAGTCCTGGTAAGGGAGACAGAGTTTTATGTGGTAACAGGAGAAAACAGAGAAAGAAGGTGATGCCAGAGAAGCGGAAAGAACACACATCAGGGGACTTCTTGGTGAAGTCGTCCAGAAAGGTTTTAGAATACTCAGTGTCTCCAAAGGGAGAGGGAAGCCCAGAAGCACTTTTTTGTAAGCGCAGAGTAAGGGCTCCCGAAAATCCGCTCCTCCACACAAGCAACAAGAACACTGGCCAAAACAGTCAAAATCCACTTTTTCAGAACTCTGGAAATTAACCAAAGGCTCACAACATTCTGAAGGGCATGCGTTCAAAAACCAACAGCTGACCACTGGTAAGAGGAGCCGGCTTGGCGGCATGCGTAATTCCCGCCCTGTTTGTCCCGGGTTCTGTGGGAGCTTTGAAGACCACATTCTCTTTCACCCCAAACTTGCTGCAAGTATAGTCTCAGTGCACAGCTTCCATTTCGTAATAACAGCGGCCACTCCAACATAAGCCTGTGGGTTTTTAGTCTTTGCTGGACATGATGCCGCGGGTCCATCCCCTGCACGGAGCCTCGGCTGAGGAGGCTCGGGCTCTTGGACTTGTGAACCCTATAGGCACTCCCACCTCCAAATAGAATGGAGACTCTTTCTTAAGAAGAAATTCATGGACAGAGTGAAAATGCCAATTAAGAAGTAAATCAACGGGGCACCTGGGTGGCTCAGTGAGGTTAAAGCCTCTGCCTTCAGCTCAGGTCATGATCCCAGGGTCTTGGGATCAAGCCCCGCATCAGGCTCTCTGCTCAGTGGAGAGCCTGCTTCCCCAGATCTCTCTCTGCCTGCCTCTCTGCCTATTTGTGATCTCTGTCAAATAAATAAATAAAATCTTAAAAAAAAAGAAGTAAATCAACAATACGCATGTGGTGAGAAGTAAGACTACTCCCCACCTCTTCCTAAGCATCCCCAGTTTCCTTTCCCTGAGGCAACGTGTGGACCTTTCCAGAAATGTTTAATGTACGCATAAGCATCTCTTTGCACATATCTACACAGATTCTCTTCCTTTTATGCAAATACATGTGACACCTACAGCTCTGCGCTTGGCTCTTCTCCCTTCCTAGCATTTTGGACACGTTTCACCATCAGAGTCCGTAGGTCAGCCATATTCGTTTGACTGGCTGCATGGAATCCCACTGTAGGGATGAACCACTAAGTTCTTCTCCTTTCTTTTTTTGGAAACATCTATTATTGCAAATTTCAAATATATACACTAGGAAAGACAGCAGTACTGTGGATTACCATATACTTGTTTCTCAAATTTAATGATTATCAACTCATGGCCCCTCTCATTTCATTTGTACCCCCACCAGCTCCCACTACACATGCATTATTTCGGACGCAAATATCATCTATCATTTCCACTAGTAAATAACTCATTTTCTATCTCTAAAATACACAGGCATAAAAAAAAACAAAAACAAAAAGACTGCCATCCTATCTTAAAAATGGCACTAATTCCATTCTATCATATACCTTGTGAATGCTCAAATTTTCCTGGTGTTCTCATTAAACAAAGTTTTAAAAGGTGTCTCTATCAGGAGCCACACAAAGTCCATGGATTGTGATTACTGATATCTTTTACGTATCTTTTCACCTAAGTTTCCTATTGGTTGTCCCTCCTTTTCTCTTTTTCTTGCAATTTATTTGTTGAAAAAAACAGGCAAAGGTTATTTATCCATTGAACTTCTAAAAGCCTGAAATTTGCTGACCCTCTCCTTGTAGTTTAATATGTTCCTCGATGGGTCAAGGGTCCCTGAATAGCATTTAAAATAAGAAGGAGGGGCACCTGGGTGGCTCAGTGGGTTAAAGCCTCTGCCTTTGGCTCCGGTCACGATCCCAGGGTTTGGGGATCGAGCCCCGCATCGGGCTCTCTGCTTGGCAGGGAGTGTGCTTCCCCTCCTCTCTCTCCCTGTCTCTCTGCCTACTTGTGGTCTCTGTCTGTCAAATAAATAAATAAAACCTTTAAAAAAAATAAAATAAGAAGGAAATTTTGTAGAGAGATAGATGGGTACAAAGATATTTATCACAGTTTTGTTACAATAGTGAAAAAATGGAAACAATAAAAATATTTAACAGTAAGAGCAAGTGTAATCAGATACACTATTCTATGAAACATTATATGGCCATGAAAATCATGTTTTTGAATAATATTAAGTGATCTAGAAAGAAATCTATAGAACAATGCTCATATAACATGAACAAGGTAGAACAGAAAGCAGTATACAAACAGCACAATGTCGATTTTGTTTTAAAAACATTAAAACATCATTTATTTCTGAGTCATAAAACTGTATTGTGTTTAAATCCCCACAAGGAACAGGCACAACTTTCATAAACAGATATTACAATAAACATAAAAGATGTGGGATCCCACATCATCTCATGTGACTCTCAACGCATATATTTAGTGAATGTTTGATTCTCTGTGGTTAGAAAAGTGAGTCATGGCTCTCCGTGGACAGCTGAAGGGCCCAGAAAAGGAAGCTGTCGCCAGGGCTGGGCATGCTTATTCTGAGGTGACTCTGATGTGAACTCCCTGTCAGGAGTCACCTGTCCTGGAGCAATGACTTTGGGCTTGGCATGTGGGTGGGGATGATGCTTTTATGGGCTTGTACACCCTGTGTGGGGGCGGAAAGAGGAGACACTCCTGCATGGATGGCCCCCTAGAGAGAACCCAGGGTGACTGGAGACTTGTACTCACGTTTCACCAGGAGCGTCCAACCACAGGACACCTGGCCCCGGACATTGGAGGCCGTGCAGCTATAGCTCCCACTGTCCCTGGGCCGCGCTCTCAGCAGGCAGAGGTAATGGCATCCGCCTTCTTCATAAATCTCAACCATGCCTTCTCGTCTCCTCACGGGGGCACCTTCCAGGAACCAGGTCACTTCAGGATTTGGGGTCCCTGAAACTACAGGGCGAGGTGAAGCACGTGAGGCTCCCTGAGAGTGCACTGTGCTTGTGGGGCAGGTGGGATGTTGGACCCAAGGGAGAAGCTCGTTCTGGTGTGAGCTGCCCTCCCCCTGAATAGGCTCTCTTGCCCCTCCCCCTGCACTGTGCATGAGTAAACGTCTCAAGAAGGAGGCAGGGTCCGTGGGGAGGAGGGATGTAGGGCGACAAGTCAGGTCTCCAGATCAGCCAAAGCCAGCAGAAGGGAGGAAAGTGCAGGAGCCCCTGTGGTTTGGTTTTTGATGGTGATGATGGGTTTTCCCCTCTAGGGTGGTTAAGAATTAGGACACAGGGCCAATGCCATACCCAACAATGAACAGTGGGCCACTGCTGGGTGTTCCTGCAGAACAAGGTATGTTGCTAGACTGAGTCCTTCCTATAAGGTGGCTTCTGGGTGGGCTGGGTTCTAGTCCAAGGGGCTGGGCAGATACCACTGCAGGCTGATGGAGGGAGTGACCTCCCAGGGGCTACACTGGTGGGGCAGGGTGGGACCTCGACCTTCCTTAGCTCTACTCACCCTCGCATCTGAACTTGACTGTCTGATCTTCACTGACTTCCTGGCTTTGGGGCTTGCTCTCAAATTTGGGGAAGGTGGAGTCCCTCTGGCTCTCTATGGGGATTTTCCTGGTAGCAACCTTGCTCACCACCTCCTGGCTTCCCAGACCAGTCTGCCTGGTAGGGTGAGTGGCTAGGGCGGATGCAGCTGGCCACTCCCTCTCTTCTCCAGAAGACAAGATCAGTGCTCTGGGTTCCGGATGGACTTTTGCAGCCTGCAGGGTGATGGTACTGGAAGTCTTCTGTAAGATGGGACTCCTCAGGGCCTTCCTGGATGAGTCCTCGGATGGCTCTGGCTGGGACTCCTGCAGGGGCTGAGGCTGGCTACTTGGGGCCCAGGTCAGGGAGCTCCCTCTCTGGGCACTGGAGCAGTTCCTTCTTTCAGTGGCAGACTCCAGGCTGTCCACTTTCGGCCCCTGTGTGGTTCCAGTGGTCACTTCCTTCCTGATATCTGAACTGGGTGCCTTTGTTCCTCTCACCAGTGACCTGTTTGGTGGTGGTTGGGAAGGGCAATGGGAAAGAGTAAGGGGAAAGAGAATGGTTATCTGGTAACTCACAAGCATTACCCATCACAAGCATGGATTCCAGGGATCACAAAAGCCCATGAATGAAGACAGCGGGAGCAAAAGTCTCTCTCTGCAGCTTTCTCAGCTTCCCAAGGCACAGGGCAAGCCACCATTCCTGCCATTTCCTTGCCCCTCAGCTCAATCCAGAGCCTGTTCTATCTGCATTTATCCAGTCTGCCTTTATTCTCCCCCCCAACCCCTGAGCACCACCCCAGTTTCCACCATGCAACCGCCTCACCCCCGGTCCCGGCTGCCCTCTGATCCACGGCCTGCATGGCAGCACAGCTGACCTTCGCTGAGGCGAGAATAAGACCGAGCTTCTCAACGGAGCCCGCAAGGATGCCCTGAGTGAGCCTCTTGGACCTCACCAGACTGTCTGCACGGCCTGCCAGGCTGTCGCCACACCGATGTTCTTCTGGGGCCCCTGGGGGGCCCACCTGGCTTTCATCTCCCGACTTTCACACATGCTACTGTCCTGCTGGGAACACCCTCCCTGCGCTTTTCCTCATCTGGCTAATATTCCCCTGCAAGGGCCTGAACTCAAACATCAAGTGTCCAGGAAGGGTTTCTGCGACCCTCTAACCTCCTTCCTCTGCCTCAGACCTGCCATAGCTTGTAACTCTGGCTTCGGGCAGCTCTGCGGAAAGCCCTTTCCCTCCGCCAGGCATCTGCCCACCCCTCGGACCTAGTGTCTAGCCAGCGCCCTTCCTAGTGACAGCTAACCAGCCTGGCCAGACGCCAGAGAAAGATGACAGCACTGTCTTCGAGTCTCACTGTGCTGGTGAGCCTGCGCCCAAGCCTGTGTGGCCTACCACAGCAGGAGAACAAAACCAAGCCTAACAAGGGCCCCGACTGTCAGCCCTCCCTCCTATGCAGGGACTCAGAAACTCAGGGCATTTCTCTGTTACAACCTCTCTTTTCTTGCAGGGCATGTCAAGATGGAAACAGTGATGACAAATCCTAGACATACCTATTGGCATTGTCCAAACCTGGAAGAAGGGAGAAGGGGAGACTGTTAGTGGACTATCTTATGTACCAAGAGGAGACAATGATAAGACAGCACTGGTTTTCATTTCTTAGGGAGTACTCACCTCCCCAGCTTCTGCCTGACCCCCATCTACGCTCCTCCCACCTTCCCTCTGCATCCCTGGTGCTGAACCGCTTGGATTAACCAGATGAGCTGGGAGCTGGTCAGATACCCAGCTCTGAGACACCATCGAGGCCTCCATTGCTGCCCTGGGCCTTCTCTGGAAGTCTCAGTGACCATACCCTGTGCCATGGAACGTGTCCCGTTCACCAGCCACAGAAGGAAACGAATTGAGGGACAAACCAAAATAAACATCTGAAAATTTCAAACCCAAATGGTTTAAGTTACTTGTGGCCCTCAAAAACAAACCTTCCCAAATGATCAGTTTTGACAAATACGTGCTTTAAAAATGTACGGAGAAAGTGTAATTGGATTCAGTTCTTCAAGGAAAAAAACATACTATATATATATTTCTTTTCCTGATGCATCATTTTTAAAGATTTTACTACAGAAAATTTCAAAATGTACAATAGTAGAGAGGATATAACCAACTCTGAAAGCCATCACTCAGATTAAGGAAATAGCACCATTTTGCCTGTCTTTTTTATTCCTTTTTGTTTTGGATTTCCGAGCGGCTTCTTCTGGGAGTTATTTTAAAACACATCCCAGGCAGCATATCATTTTGTCATTAAGTACTTGGGAAGGGAGCTGTTCTTTAATTCAGAGCTAGGGCAAGTCAGGGGTGTGGCTTGACCATTCTATAATGCCTAACAGCAGGTCTGATCCCACGGTGAGCTGTGAAATCTCATTCTTGGGTCCAGACCAGGACTTTCGGTGGTGTAGAATGAAACAGAGAATACCAGTGTACTGTGTGTGGTACAACTCAGGACTGTTTTAATGGAAACAATGTGTTTATATCCATATATATGGCCTGTGTCACAACACAGAACAAAACTCTTTGGGTCATGAAAAACACTCCAGACAACAGTGGTAAAGAGAGCAAGGAGGAACAGTTTCTGAAAAGAGAAGGGAATGTGGAAGAAAAAAATCATAGGAGAAAGAAAGGTAAGAAAGGGGGAGGAGAGTGAAGGTTGTTTCCCTCCCTGCTTCTCCAAACCCCACCTTGCTCAAGGTTCCCGCTCGATAGAATGATGTCAACCCCCTTCCCCACCCACACTCCTGCTTCCACAGACTGGACTTGGCAGAACCAAGGGGAATGTAAAGAGGAGACAGATTCAAAGAGATTTCCAGGGAAGAACTGACAGGGCTGGATGCCTGCAGCAAGGAGGAGGCAGGGGTCAAAGGAGATGCTGAAAGTCCAGTCCAGATGCAGAGGAAAAGCAGAATCCTGGGGTACACAGAGTTTAAAGTTGAGGGAATGCCCGATGGGAAGGACAGAGAGGATGATAAGTTAAATTTTAGGCAGGTTAAATTTGGGGTCATGGCAAGGTATTTGGAATGTCCACTCTTCTGGTGGCAATCAGAGGTACAAAAAGGAATATGAGTGAGAAAAAAGACACTGAAGACACAGGTGTGGGGCACAGTGCCAGGACATGAGTTCGAGATCCTGGCCCAGGGGGAATGCTTGGAGAGGGGGGTGGATCAGTGGAACACGGATCTGTAACGAACAGCAGGGTATAGACACCAGGCAGGGGCATCCTGTACGAGCCCCCCACCACTTGATACCTTGGATAGAAAGCTCGGCCGACATGGAGGCCTTCCCTGACCCATTCACCACCAGGCATGTGTACACGCCCACATCATCACAGCTGACCTCGTGGATTTCCAGAACTTGTACCCCATTCTTCTCAGACATAGACACACGGGCACTTGGCTGCAGGGGAACCTCTCCCTGTGGATGGCAAGAGGGCAGTGGGTCAGAGAAACCTGCTTACTTCATGGCACCCTCCAAGCCTGGCTGGGATGGACACCAGGCCTGGGCAGCATAATCCTCTGCTCTGGGCTCTGTCAGTGTGCTCAGAAAGCAGTCTTTGGACAATCCACGGGCCCTGACTCGAGGTCCGTGTGTGCGGTGTGGCATCAGGTCCGGCTCAGAGCAGGTGTGTGAGCTTGTTTCAGAGATGCCCTAGTTCAAGGTGGGGAGCCTACATTCCTCACGTTAGCTCTGCTTGGCCACCCTCTCCTCTACTCTTTTCCCAGGCTCAGTCCAGCAGAATTACAAAATAGAGAAAAGGTGTCCCCTCACTCATTTCGGTCAGGGGCTCCCGTCTGTGAGAAAGCTAGTCTCACAGGCCTCAACCCCAAGCTTTCCCCAAGGTTTCTCCCTGCCCTGCTGAACATCCACCCCACCCCTCACACCCCCTGAAGCTGCCACTCCCCTCCTCCAGCCCTTCTGCTATGCCTTCACACCACCCGGCCCTGAATGAAATACTCTCAACAGTATTTTGAGGGAGCTGGCATCATCTCTGGTCTCACAGATAAGGACACCAATGTTCCAAGAGACCAAATGATTTGCCCAGCATCACATGTTTTACAAATGAGGGAGCTGTGGCTTGAAACCTAGTCTTATGACTTCGAATTCCACTCTCTGGAGATGGTCAGGTCTGTTCTGACTCAGAAATGTTATGCTGTTTGGGGAGTGTCTGGATTCTAGGACATGGCGGGCTGAGTTACAGAGGCAGAGTGTGCAAATAGGGGCAGGGACAAGCATGGCTATCGGGCATACAGAGAACCCTGGAGAACCATCTACAGTTGAGCAGAAGGGACTGATCAGACAGACAGACACCCGTTGGTCCAAGGGCCTAACCCTCTCCATTCAGGGTCCCCAGGCCGGGGCCAGAGTTGGGGCAGATCAAATCTCACCTTGAGCCAGGTGACCTGCGGTTGGGGCCGGCCAGTGATCTTGCATGAAAACCGTCCTATCTGTCCTTCTCGGACTATGGCTCGGCCCAACTTGGTAGCAAACTTTGGCGGGCACTCTCCCCAGATGCTAGGACGAGTCTCCACGGCAGGGGCAGCGAATCTGTCCCTAGAAAGAAATGAGCAGAGTCGAGCTGCAATTCAGATCTCTCTGCCCCCACCCACGTCACTTGAGCTGGGTCAGCTACGAGCAAAAGGCAGCCTTCCCAATCCTCTGCCTCATGCACCTTCTGGAAAGGTCCATGGAACCAAAACCTATTTCCTCTACCCCCTGATCATGCAGTGCGACTTCATGTACTAGCCTCCTTTGTGGTAAGGTACACCTGGAGTCTACTGAGCCCTGGCCCAAAGCATGGGTTTGGGCCAACAGGCCATAAGCAAAAGTGATGTGTGCCACCTCCAGGCTAAACCCATAAAAAGCCCCTGTGAGATTCTCCATGCTCCCTCTTGCCCATCCTTCTGGCTGGATGCAGAAGATCCAAGAGAGGCTCCAAGGCCAAGAGATGATGGAACTGCAAAAGGGAAAGAGCCCAGGTCCCTGAACGATGATGGCAAGGTTCTCCGACTGTTCTAGAATACCTAAGTTGACTGCTTGAGCAAGAAATAAACTTTCCCTGTGTTAAACTGTTGCCATTTGGGGGCTGGCATGTTATAGCAACTACTGTTACTTATCTTTACCAACAAAGGTTTCCTTTCCCTAAGAAGTGCCCCATATGGATGGCCTCTTCCAGGTCTGCTTACTTAAATGTGACTATTGCCTTGACTGTCAGAGATCCCTGCCGACTTTGGGCACACAGTACACTCCCTCAGTGTGTAGCAGCTAGACCACTCAAAGGGGCTATCCCTACAGGCTAGTAGGTCAGGAGACACTGTGCGACAGCCACATCATATAACAGGGGGCTTTTGCTATTACAACCCAGGTTGCCCAGGAAGACTTATGCCCCAGACCTGTTCTGTCAGGTCAGCAGAAAAAGCTAATGCCCCCCTTACCCTGGTTTGAACATCCCACAACTTACCCCAAGGTTTTAGAAACAGCAGGCTGACCATGCTTCTTCATAAAGCCCCCTGTGAGAAGGAAACAGAGAGAGAGGCTTAGAGTCGGGTCTGAGCCACCAACTTGGAGCAATGAAGGTCAGGAAGAGTCAACCACAGAAGTAGGGTGGGATAATGCCGGGAAACAGTTCACCTTGACTGAGCCCGTCCTGGGCCAGGCAGGACACCAGTGACATGTATCACTTAAGGCTGGTACTAAGTTGTCCTTCTAGTTCTTAAACAGAAGAGAAAAAGGAGTCATAGAGCCAGTATTAGTGCAGAAACGTTTCCATGCACACCTGTTCTAGATCATTCAACCATTCTGCTGAGCCAATGGACCTTCTACTCTGGGAATTATCGGTGGTGATCCAGAACCTCTCTAGAAGAGGACCTCGGTGGAGCGAGGGAGGGAGATGCACATACATCTCTCTCACCGGATCTATTCACGCTGGATACAATCACCATTCCATCCTCCCACGTGTGGCCCAGCAAACAGCAAGATCTGTCCTGCTGGCGCGGAGCAGACCCCTGGTGCTGGGCTCACCAGAACCCACACCAGTAGCTCTGTGAACACTGCGGATCCTGGGTAAGGTGCTGTCATGCCGGACAGGATGTGGTTAAACAGCAAACCCAGTCAGATGAGGGCATGGAGAGGGACCATTCCTAATGTGACCAGGAACAGGAAGTGACCATAACGTGCAGGGGGAAAGGAGGACATTTCTGAGATAGTGATCAGCCTGGGAGTTGTTCTCTTTTTGCCACAAGCTGGGAATGTTTATAAAACCCCACCCAAGGCACACACAGAAAGCATGGAAGTCATTCTCTGAATATCAGCAGGCAACTGCAATGGGAAATTTGCAGGGTGTTTACTGGAAAGGGTAAACTTCCTTAAATTCCAGCACCCATCGCATCTGTATGAATGCGTAGGAAGATGGGAATGGGGGCTGCGTGTTTCCTTTGGCGTATCTGGCTCAAGGATTAAAGAACCTTAGTGAGAAAGGATTAATAGCAAACGCCAGCATTACATGTAAGCTATGGTTCCAGGCCACTGACAATGATTATCCATGTATCTCTATTTAACATCACTCTGTCACGAGTTGTGTATGGTTTTCATTCCATAATGTGGATTTGGTTCTTGTCACTCAATAGTGTTTTCAAGGTTAAAAGGATTTCTAAGCAGATAAAAGGAGAAACTTGTGCAGGGAGGACCCAACTGACCATCACCAGCAAGATGCTGGGGCCCCTCAGACGATCGCCCTCCAGATGCTGGAGGAAGGACCAGCCAGTCAGTCCTTTTTGAAAGTATTGGAGCTGGGGCGCCTGGGTGGCTCAGTGGGTTAAAGCCTCTGCCTTCGGCTCGGGTCATGGTCCCAGGGTCCTGGGATCCAGCCCCGCATTGGGCTCTCTGCTCTGCCTGGAGCCTGCTTCCTCCCCTCTCTCTCTGCCTGCTTCTCTGCCTACTTGTGATCTCTCTCTCTGTCAAATAAATAAATAAAATCTTAAAAAAAAAAAATGAAAGTATTGGAGCGAATGAGAATCCTAAGCTCTGAAGAGGCTCTGGTCTTAGACCAGCACCTTCCTTTCTGGGGCTCAAAATCAAAGGGAATGATGCTAAAAGTAGAAAAGAAAGTTTACAAAGCTGTTCATTTCAGTCTTGCTGGTAACAGTAAAAATTAGAAACAGTGCAAACGTCATACAGTAGGAAGAATAATAAGGAAAGTATACCATTAAACATGTTGAAGAGTCCACGAGACAGGCAGAAATAGGTCACGATATGACAGTGTTTGCTCTTCAGCACGTTCCACTTGGCCAGTGAGCCTCTGTACTCCCCTGAGCTTGTCCTGACCGCCATCTTGCCAGACCCAGGGGGCAATCCTGTCCCCCGGCACTCAGGTGCTCAACAGCATTTGCCGTGGCGCCACTCCACTCCCAAGTGCCTTCTCCTCCAGACTCTCCTGCTCTCACCAGGTTCCGAGTCTTCTTCAACCACCTTCTCTGTTCCACCTTTGCATTTGGGAGTGCCCTGGGGCTGAGACCTGGGTCCTTGCTTTGCACTTCGTATTCCTGCCCCCCCCCAACAACCCCAGGAGGTCTTACATCATCCAATCACTTTAAATATCACCTATAAGCTGATGACTCTCAAACCATGTTCCCATCAGAACTTCTGTTCATTCAACAGAAGTATCCAGAAGAGTGCCCAAATCCTTACAGGATTCAAATCCTTGTGAAATAAAGGGATTTTTATGAAAAGAAGAGCAGGTTACAACATTATCTATTCAGTGTGATCTTAACTAGGAAAAAATAAAATAAAGTATCAAAACACAGGAAAGCAACCAGAAGAAAATGCATCGAAATTTATTAGTAGTGATTGTTTTGGGGTGGTGGGACTATGAGGAATCGGTTCAGCTGTATTTTTTAAAACCTATAAATATGACAGTAAAGACAAAAACAAGAGGAGGTCTAGTTACCAAAAATAAAGAAAAAAAAGGAGGGGTGGGCAGGTGAACAGGGCCTCTTGCACCTGCTAACACCAAAGCATTCAGCCACACACCCAATCACTGAGGCTCCCTCTGAAAAATATCTACGTACCGTTCACGGCATTTTTTTTTTTTAAGATACCTTTTTTTTTTTTTTTTTAAGCTTTTATCCGTTTGACAGACAGAGATCACAAATAGGCAGAGAGCCAGGCAGAGAGAGATGGTGAGGGGGCCAGGCCCCCTGCCGAGCAGAGAGCCCGATGCGGGCTCAATCCCAGGACCTTGGGATCATCACCTGAGCTAAAGGCAGAGGCTTTAACCCAGTGAGCCACCCAGGCGCCCCTTATCATGCTACCTTATCACTCACTTCATATCGGAGCAAAGATTTGATAAAAATTAGACTGATCATCTGATGAAGGGATGAACAAAATGTGGTCTATATATACAATGAACTATTATTCAGCCAAACAGAGGAATAACATTCTGACACATGTATCGACATGCAAGAACCCTGAGAAAATCTGCTAAGTGAGGAAAGCCAGACTCAGAAAAACGTCTGATTCCATTTTGACAAAATGTTCAGAAGAGGCAAGTGGAGAGAGACAAAGTACATCAGCAGTTGCCAGGGCCTAGGGGAGGAGGCAGATGGGGAAGACTGCTCAGTGGGAATGGGCTTCTGTTCAGGATGATGAAAAGTTCTGGAACTAGATGGTGGTGATGGTCACACGACTTGGTGAATTGTCCTTAATGTCACTGAACTGTATACTTTAAAATGGCTGCAGTGGTAAATTTATGTGTGCTTGAACTACAATAAAAAACAGAGTAAGCATTTTTAAGATTCTTGGGAGCTGAACATCTTAATCCAAACGCTAAAATTCTTTTATTCCTTAAAAAAAAAAAAAAAAGCGAAAATATGGCATTGCCTAAAAGAAGAGCAAAAGAACACTGCTTGAAGGTACTTCTGTATCAGGGCGAGGGCAGTTTATGACTGATCCGAAGGTAACACAGCAAGCAGTCAGCTAGCAATGAAATGGGGTGCTTATTTTAATGTGAGTTAACACCAGCAAGTTGACATCAAAACAAAAAGAGAATTTGGGCTAAGATAACTAACAAGGTCTATTTATAGGCAAAAATTTGAAGTTGCAAGTTGTCAGATAAGGCAAAATTAATTTTGTGAAACTATGAAATCTGGCAGAACAGTAAGTCTACGGAGAAAAATAAGTGGAAAGGGGATTAGGATGGAAATGCCAAAAATAGAAGAATAAGTTAAGAGAATTGGTGAAGACAGGATCGAGTTAGTGAGAGGGGAAAAAAAGGCCAAGGCACTGAAAGTATTTAAACAGTTCTCTTAGGTTTTTCAAGGACGAGTAAAAGAGAGTGCTGGCAGGTTTTAGGAGTGAAAAGTTCAACGGCAGGGGAAACTAGCACTTTTTGTTAAAGCATACAGAGACACTGGGTTGGGACAGAGAATGCTGCCGACAAGGGGAATAATGGGATCAAGATGGTAGGAGACCGAATGCTTCCAAAATACGTGATGATATAACTTATCATCCAAATAGGGACTCTTGACACTGGAAGGGACATAATTAATCATTCTCCCAGGACAACAGGAGTAAACCAGGGCTGTTCCTGGCAAATCAGGGAGCAGTCGCCCTGCTTGCAGCCAACTTAAAAGTGAATTTTAAGGATTTCTTAAAACAGTGGTTTTAATCAGAAAAAATGCCCATTTTTTAATAACAGATAGTAATGTCCCCGTGCCATCCATGGAGTTCACTGCTAACGACCCATGTATGATCTCAAAAAGAAAATAAATGAAAGCCCTAACTAAAATATTAACAAAAGATAAAAGGAAAGTAAATTATAATAATACTTATTTCAATCTGTAAGTGTTCAAGCATGACTGTTTCAGGTTGTAAATGCTCAGGTGAGCGAGAAGATATGATGACACTTGCCCTGACTCATGGCCATTATCTGGATTTAAAAGCAAGTGATCAAGCCATGCAAGGTACTAGAAGTCCAGGAAAATGAAAGGAAATAGGTATTCATGTGGACACTTAAAAATAAAAAGAGTTGAAAAAAGAACTATTTCTCAATAAAGAGAGAAAGAAATTAAAAAGAAGAAAAATATTAGGATAGCCTAAAAAGGGGTAGTGTTAAGATCAATGGCAAAGTGGACATATGATATAAAAAAGAATGTATAAGGGGCACCTGGGTGGCTTACTAGGTTAGGTGTCTGCCTTCCGCTCAGGTCCTGATCTCAGAGTCCTGGAATTGAACTACGAGTCAGGCTCCCTGCTCAGCAGGGAGTCTGCTTCTCCCTCTCCCTCCACCTGTCCCTCCTCCTGCTTGTGCTCTCTCTCTCTCTCAAATAAATAAAATCTTTTTGAAAAAGTGCAAAATAACCTTGAAGTAAGATAATATAGCAAGACAAGTTATAGAGCACTGGGATACAGAAAATGAAAAACAGAAGACCGGGTGGAGTGTGTGTGTTGCGGGGTGTGGGGGGGTTGGTGTCACTAACTCTCTCCCCTTTCCTCAGATTTCCATCTTCCAAAA